GCTAGAATTTAGTAAAAACTTTATATTTTAATCACACATGGACTCTCAGTCTGAATTATTTTACTCTGGCTCTGCTGGACTATCTTATCTCTGCTAAATACCATTTTTTTCAATATCTCACTATCACCCAACACCATCCAGTCCAACGCTCTGTCACACAGTGGTCAAAAATACCAGGTGCCATCAGGAGGTCCAGCAGTGGGGCCAGAACTCCAGAAGCCCTCCCACTGTCCCCCCCCACAAGCAGCACAAATACAGAGCATCACTTGCCCCAGATCAAGAGTTCCTATCTATACCTTGTGGCTAATAGCCACTGATGGACCTCTGCTCCATATGCTTATCCCCTTTTGAAGCCATTCTTGCTTGTAGCTGCCACCACCTCCTTTGGCAGTGAATTCCATGTGTTAATCACTCGTTGGGTGAAGAAGTACTTCCTTTTATCCGTTCTAACCCGACCGCTCAGCAATTTCATTGAGTGCCCACGAGTCCTTTTATTGTGAGAAAGGGAGAAAAGAGCTTCTTTCTCTACCTGCTCTATCCCATGCATAATCTTATAAACCTCGATCATGTCACCCCTCAGCTGTCGTTTCTCCAAGCTAAAGAGCCCCAAGTGTTTTAACCTTTCTTCATAGGGAAAGTGTTCCAAATAACTCTGCTTTGCTGTTTTCCATCCAGGGCATAAAGATAGACGCTCACGAAGAATTGTTCAGCCCTCCGCTGAGCCGAACTGCTGAACATCCCAACTCACCCGTCTTTCTCCTGAGGGTGCAGCGCGAAAACCTTGTGGCGCACACTTTGCACATATTGAGTCAGGTGGAAGACGCCTCCCTGAAAATGGAGCTGTTGGTAAGTTGGGCTTGGCTGGTGGTCTTGCTGAAATGGCTGCCAATGGGTAGCTGCGAAGTCTGGCTCCAAGAGCCACCATCGCTTTTTTGGAACTGAAGGGGCAGGTTCCTGGGCAGTTGAACTCGGGTTATCATTTAGAAGACACCAGGAGGCAAGATAGTAGCTTGAATCCTGAAGACAGAAGGGGTTTTCATCTCTGGAGCAAGGACCTCTTGGTTCCCTGAGAGCCAGCGTGGTGTAGTGGTTGATAGTGGCGGACTCTTAACCTGGAGAGCCAGGTTTGATTCCCCACTCCTTCTCCACATGAGGCCTGCTGGGTGACCCTGAGCCAGTCACAGTTCCCTCAGAACACTCTCAGTCCCACCTACCTCACAAGCTGCCTGTTCTGGGGAGAAGGAGGGAAGGCGATTGTAAGGCGCTTTGAGACTCCTTGTTGTTGTTCAGTCGCACAGTCGAGTCCGACTCTTTGCGACCCCATGGACCAGATCACGCCAGGCCCTCCTGTCTTCCGCCGTCCTCCGGAGTTTGCTTAATTTCATGTTCGTTGCATCTATGGCACTGTCTAACCATCTCATCCTTTGCCGTCCCCTTCTTCTTTGACCTTCAATCTTTCCCAACATCAGGGTCTTCTCCAGTGAGTGCTCCCTTCTCATTTGGTGGCCAAAGTATTTGAGCTTCATTATCTGGCCTTCCAGGGAACAGTCAGGGTTGATTTCTTTTAGGACTGACTGATTCGATCTCCTTGCAGTCCAGGGGACTCTCAAGAGTCTTCTCCGGCACCATAATTCAAAAGAATCTATTCTTCAGCGCTTGACCTTCCTTATGGTCCAACTCTCACAGCCATACATGACTATTGAGATTCCTTACAGTAGAGTAAATCGGGATATAGAAACCAGCTCCTTCTTCCCTCCCCTTCTGCTGCCAAAGGCTGCTTCTGGGGGGACATGGGACCCCTAAGAGCAGTTGGGTGGCAACCAAGGTCTGTACTGAGAGATGCGGAGCCGGCAAACAATTCCCCCTTCCGTTCACAGAAATAAAATCCTCCATGGGATCTGGCCTGTTTCCCAGCTGAAGAGCTGGACCATCGGCCTGTGTTAAGCTAGAACCTGACATTGCGCCACCTGGCTGTTGTTTCTGTGCTCCGAACACCCATGCTTAGAAATGGCTCTGCACTAGTGGAATGCTCTTTGCTGTTTCCAAGCATTTCCCTTTAAAAAAACACATCTCACTCTTCCGTAGGAAGTGATTAGCAGGTAACTGTTGGGTGATAGTAAGATATTGAAAAAAATGTATTTAGCAGAGATAGTCCAGCAGTCCCGGAATAAAATAATTCAGACTCAGAGTCCATGTGTGATTAAAATATAAAGTTTTTACTAAATTCTAGCATGGGGAAGGGTAAATGGGATGAAAATAACTACAGAGCAAAATCTGCTACATCCTTACTCTACAAAGACAAAACTAGAAGAGTGAGACTATGGCTACTCTTCTTCAGAACACCAAACAAAGACGGGAAGAGAGCCATAAAATGCTAATACACCTTGACACTTTAGTCCAAATCAAATTCCTAGATCAGGGAGAAAATTCCCGGGTATTCTACAGCAAAAGAACATTGCTTACATGAAAAGCATGTGACTTCCTGTGAGTAACATAAACAAACATTTAACCCCAGATATACTGAGTGCTTTCAACTTGTAATACCCAACAATAACGCATGGCTTCACCAGGGGCAGGATCAGCCCTCTTGCCTGCTGCTTGCTTTCCAAAGAAAGGGAAGGTTTTTTGCTCTGCACAGCCACACAGAGGTTGCCAAACCCAAAAATGTCAGAATGGCTGTGTCTAGGCCAGCTTGAGGGTGCATGGATGTAGCGTTACAGGTTGCCCACCACCACAGTATGCAGTCTCGCTCTTGAATCAGACAGGAGCAGAAATGGGGACGGGTGGGAAGTGTCAGGGCACAGTGTCACTCCCACTTGTACTTAGATGTTTACCAGTTTGGGGGAAATCCAGAGTGCTGTGATGTCACTTCCGGGTGGAAGTAACATCACACAATGTTGCTCCACCCACAGGACCAAAGATGTTGTCAGGCAACCAACCCTGCATTGATGTGATGCGCCTGCTCTGGGTTAAGCCCAGTGATTTCATAGGATCATAGAATTGGAAGGGACCTCCAGGGTCATCTAGTCCAACCCCCTGCACAATGCAGGACATTCACAACTACCTCCTCCTCCACACCCGCGGTGACCCTGCTGTTCCACACTAGTTAGTCATCTGGTAGGGAGCCGCTTGAAGCTCCCAGGCTTTTCCCCCTGCTCCGTTCAAGGCATTTTGGGATTCTTCCCCAAGATTCAAGATGTAAGTGGGGACCAGGGAACACACAGTTGGACACTGTGATGCCCGCAGGATCACTGCTCTAGCCACTCTTAATCATATTTATCAAACTGGTTCCATTGCCAACTCATTAGCAGTTTAGGTGTCTAAGGTACGGACTAGTTTAAGTTTCCCTGGTAGATCCTTTCGTTGACGAACGTGTGGCCAGATGTGAAGAGTTCTATTATGCTATCCTTCTTGGAGAGTGATTTCTGTCATTGTGGTCCCACGACCTAGGAAAGGCCCTTCCCAGAGCACTGATAGGTCTCCTCTTCCACATCTGGGAATTGTGAGGAGAAAAGGGTGGCATCCGGTGAAATTTGGCACTTGTTTTTATTCTTTGTCTTGTGTTCTGCTAGCGCGCCGCCATCAACCGGAACCTTTGCCTTCTGTTCTGTGCAGTCATTGCTGCTGCTCCCCCCCCCCCAATTTTTGCAGGTTGAATTTGAAGGAGAACCGAAATGCGAACCCAACAGTACCGTGGTTGAATTCTTCTTCTATGTGTTTGACGAGATGATCCGGCCAGATTATGGGCTGTTTATGTACTGTGAGCAGAATTCTCCTATGTGGTTTCCTGCAAAAGTAAGCCATTCAGACAAGTTTCCAGGCCCTGAGGAGGGGAAGCAGGGTGACCCCTGCTCCCCTCCCACTATCTCAGCCTAGCCTACTTCACAAGGTTGTTGTGAGGGTAAAATAAGGAGGGGAGAACTATGTATGTTGCCGTGGATTCCTTTGAGAAGGGTGGGATAAAAATGTATGTATCAGACAGGTTTATGAGAGGGATTATAGCTTCTTGATGCTACAGCACATAAGGGGTCAAGTTCTCTCTCTGGCAAAATGATCTCAGGGTAGCAAGTTGGGAAAAAAGGTATTAAGTTTTGGGAAGCTGCTGCCAGGAATAGCAGAGGATAGTAGGCCAGTTTGGTGTAGTGGTTAGGAGTGCAGACTCTAATCTGGGAGAACTGGGTTTGATTCCGCACTCCTCCACATGCAGCTGCTGGTGTGACCTTGGGTCAGTCATAAGTTCTTTCAGAGCTGTTCTGGAAAGAGCAGTCCTTGAAAGATTTCTCTCAGCCCTGCCTACCTCACAGGGTGTGTGTTGTGGGGAAGGGAAAGGAGATTGTAAGCCGCTCTGAGACTTCTTTGGGTAGTTAAGGGCAGGGTATAAATCCGGTCTCCTCTTCTTCTAGGCTAGACATGCAAGCTGTCTCCCAATAGTGTAAGACAGATGTTTGTACCATCCAAAGCCGTGTCTCCCAATAGTGTAAGACAGATGTTTTTACCATCCAAAGCCATTCCCAGTTGCCATGATGTTATGGTAGGGTTCTTTTTTTTTAACTTGCAGCCTTCCGCAGAGATGAAGAATTATTACCTCTTTGGGGTCCTGTATGGGCTCAGTCTGTTCAATAGGGTACTTGCTTATGTACCTTTCCCGCGTGCTGTCTTCAAAAAACTGATGGGCAAGAAGCCCTCCCTCCATGACCTGAAAGAGCTCAGTCCAGTTTTGGGAAAGTAAGTGGCTTAAATTTTTCTCACTTGGTATTCTAGCCTTGGGAGGGGAGGCGACACGGTGTAGCCCGCTCTTGTCAGATCTCAGAAGCCAAGCAGGGTTGTACTAAAAAGGGAGACCACCAAGGAAGGATCTGCAGAGGAAGGCAATGGCAAGCCACCTCTGCTTCTCATTCGCCTTGGAAGCCCCTTGCAGGGATTACCATAAATCAGCTGCAGCTTAATGGCCCTTTGCACACACGTTTTCTCTTGCTGGTGCCATTTCTGGGCTTTTACCCTGATTTTGCTGCAATTTTTAACCTTATGCAGACATTATAAAGGTCTGTTCAGGTTCAGCCAGATGCTGGCCTGGCCTTCAAAACTGATAAGAGTCACATCATTAAGATATAATGGGGAGAGCAGAACTCCAGATTCCTAAATCTCAGAGTGAAGCTACTTTTTATCTTGCTGACTGTCTAAAGCAGAGGTTCCCAAACTTGGCCCTACCGCCCCCTTTTCAGAAAAAAAAATTACTCAGTGCCCCCCTGGAAATCTACCTTCAAGAAGTGGACAAAAAGATGCAGTTTATGGATCTGCATCTGGATTGTTCCAGCACCTGCCCCCCAGGGGGTGGTATAGCCCACTTTGGGAACCAGTGCTCTAGAGTGAAGGGAGTCTTTGTCAAAAATGTGTGTTTTGCCTTGCTCGGGAGAGAAGAGAAATCACTCTCACCACTCCAGTCTGCTCCTGTCTCTGTCACCATTAACCTCTGCTCTTTTGCTCACAGGTGGTAGATACCAGAAGTAAAGGTAAAGTTCCCCTTGCTCGAAAGCCAGTCGAGTCCGACTCTAGGGTTGCGGTGCTCATCTCCATTTCAAAGCCGAAGAGCCAGTGCTGTCCGAAGACGTTTCCGTGGTCATGTGGCCGGCATGACTAAACACCAAGGTGCACGGAACGCTGTTACCTTCCCACCGAAGTGGTACCTATTTATCTACTTGCAATTTCTTGCTTTCGAACTGCTAGGTTGGCAGGAGCTGGAACTAGAGACGGGAGCTCATCCCGTCTTGCGGCACCCGGGTCTTGAACTGCTGAACTACTGACCTTCCACAGCCTGCAGTTCAGCGTCTTAACCACTTGAGCCACCGCAGCTCCTAGATACCAGAACCCAGGTGGAAACCAGTGTTCCCTCTAAGCTGCCTTAGTGTGAGCTAGCTCAGTTTTTTAGTTCACAGTTTTTAGTTCACAGTAGCTCACACATCTTTCTCTTCGCGCAGGAAGGACGGCTCCAGAGCAAGTTCACAGTAGCTCACACATTTTTCTCTTAGCGCAGGAAGGACGGCTCCAGAGCAAACTAATTTATGCAGCAGCCATATCGCTCACTCGCAACTTTAATGCCAGTAACTCACAAAGCAGAATTTTTGCTCACAGGACTCCACAGCTTAGAGGGAGCATTGGTGGCAACTGTTATGTTTTGGAATGAAATATGGCACCTGGGTTGCCTTGCAGCCATTGGGAGTAGCAACGATTGGGTTGTGGCCTTGGATGTGACAGGCAGAGGTGGATTGCCCCAACACACCATTAATTTGAAAAATGCTGTTACGTGGTAATCAGTAGAATATTATTTTCCTGCTTTTTGTAGGAGTTTGCAGTCAGTTCTCGATTATGAACAGGATGACATAGAAGCAAACCTTCAGCTGAGTTACAATGTGAGTCCCTTCAGAAGCCTGCCATTCCAGTTAGATGGGCAGTGAGGGGAAAGTCATGTTTTGGAGTCTTTCCTTCTGTGGCACAGCAGTCAGCCGGCTGCTAAAATGTGTTTTGTCCCATTGCCTTAAGTTGTTTCTCTTTCTTGGACTGCCATGTGTACATGAATGGTGATGGTTTTAGCTTCTGCGTAGCTATCACTTGCCAGTATTATGTCCTTGTCAGGATTGCCGTACATGAAGAAGGTTGGAGACCAACTGGGACGAGTTCAGAGGAGGGCAGCAAAGAAGGATGGGGGAGTCTGGAAAAACATCCCTTTGAGGAAAGGTTGAATAGAAGAATGAGGGTGGATGTGATGACACTTTGAAAATACTTAAAGGACTGCCATGTGGGAAATGGGCAACTGCACTGTTCTCTGCTCCTCCAGAAGGCCAGACTGTATCTCAATATCAGATGTTCTAGTGTTGGTTTTCTTGCACTGGCCAAGGTTTGGACTGGAAGGCCCATGAGATCCCTTTCAGCAGTATACGTTTGGGGGTTTATTGGCTTTGTTTTCATGGGGTTGGAATCTCTAGTTTAAAAAAAAAAATTTCGAATTGATTTCCAGATAACCTGGGATAACGTGACTGTAGACTTAATTCCCAATGGCAGTACGGTAGCTGTGAATACCGCAAACAGGTTTGTAATTATGACTTCTCCTTGCTTTAGATATGCAGCTGTCTTCATCCCAAGTAAATTATGGTAGTGGTATTTTCACAACTGGGAGAGTTCCTGTATCAGATACGACATGCAGGAAAGAAAACAGTGGGCTTTTCTGCATTCTCAGTTTCCTCTTTTGTAAGTTACTGTTTCTGAGGGTCTGTTCTGCACTTACGTTGCTCCCTCTAGTGGTCAATACAATGTCTATGTATGTATTTATTTACTTTATACCCTGCCCTCCCTGCCAAAGGCGGGCTCAGGGTGGTTTAGTTTTTCCATAAAAATACAATTAAAATCTATCATAATATATAATCATAAGCATAAAATACCAATCATTTAAATACAGTTAAAACGCTAGAACACTATCAAGAAAATAGGAGCCGCTACCACCACCACCAACGGTGGAAATTCCAACCGGATTTGGATCACCCTGGGAAGTACAGCTTACCCTGTGTGACATCAACACCTACTGGAGAGTGGTACCCCAACGGGGCCGACTGAAGATCAGAGACGCCATTATTATCAAAGACCATCTTACCGTGAAGCACTTATTTATCTATTGTTATATATAATTGCTGCTATGTTTTTATTGTTTTATGGATTTTATATATGGGCTGTAGCCCTCTGTAAGCCGCCCTGAGCCCGCTTGCGGGGAGGGCGGGGTAAAAATACCTAAATAAATAAATAAATAATGGAGGAGAAAGAACAGTAGGTTGGATCCAGCAGAACAATTCACAGAGTAGACCTTGCACTGTCTTCACCTAGATGCTTTCTGGTTGTCCCAAAATTGCTGTCTGAGGATCAGGAGGGCCTACCAACAAAATGGACCAAAGGATGTGGCACTGCAGAGAAGAACAAGTAAAATAAATTCTTCCATTTGCATCAGGAGAAGGAGGAATTTTACCTAACTGCCATTCATTACTGCAGCACCACACCATGTGGGGCAGGGTCTCCCAACCTTTTTGAGCCCGTGGGCACTATGGAATTCGGACACAGAGTGGTAGGCACAACCATAAAATGGCTGCCAGAAGAAGCAGAGCCAGCTGCAAAACATTAGGACATGAGGTCAAACATTAACCCTAACAGTAGTTCAATATTTCAAGCAGAAGCTCTGTCTAACACTAGGCCTTTGAAAACTAACATAGTGTTTAAAAATATTTTCTTGCACACATTTTCAGTCAACTGCCGCCAAAGCAACTTTTTAAAAATCTGTACAACCAATGACATCTCCAATGGCCAATAAGAAGCCCCGTTAGACAAAAGCCACACCTGGCTCTGCAGTGGATCCAAACTGTTCGGCTTATATCGATATATCGATATACCAGAACCTCTAAGGAGTCGCATTCCAATGGAATCGTTATTGCGACCATTTGAGGTTCTGGTATAGCGATATATCGATATATCGCTATAAGCCGAACCTTTAAAAAAGAAAAAAATCGCTCACCCGCGCGGGAAGAAAACAGCAGGAAAACAAAGCGGTGCGTGTGTGAAACGCCAAACCGCTTCTTATCCGGTTCCTTTCCGGTAGGGGCAAGCCGTGTGTGAAACGGCAGCCCTGTACCGGTTCAACTCGTAACGGAAGACTCCCGGCTTGAAACCGGGAGAAACTAGGTAATGTGAAATTCCCCAAGAACTTAGAAAGCAAGGGAAATGAGAATGTGGAAAAGCCCAAAGTCAGCATGGAGTGAAAGCTGTCCTCTTTCATTGCCTTTTCCCCTTGCCATCTTGATCAATATCCTAGCTAATCCTGATTTGCTTCACTAGTTCATTGATGCAAAATGTAGCATGGTGAATGCTCAATAGGACTGGAAGTAGAAATTCTACAGTCTCTTGATTATAACTTTCCTTGCCCAGTAAAGAAAAGCACTAGCCCTATCCATAGGTTATAGTCGGTGAGAAAGAAAAAATGTGTGTTCACTCTACAAATGAAACTGGGAAACCAGTACCTGGATTAGTGTGGGATTTAAATCACACATTGAGCTGTATGTTAGGTTGAGTATAACATGAGATGCTTGCACAAAGAAAAACCCTAGATTACCCTGTATGAAGATTCTATGCGTGTCCCCTACAGCTTGTGAATAGGGCTTCTGGTCCTAATGAATGAGCAAAAGAAGACCCCAGTCTACAGGTAACAGGAGTCCTGTAGCATTTTAAGTGTGTGCATAAGTGCTGTCAAGTTGCTTATGGCAGCCCTGTGAATTAATGACCTCCAGAAATCCTTGCTCAGGTCTTGCAAACAGAAGGCCGTGGCGTCCTTTACAATCCATCTCATACTAGGTCTTCCTCTTCTCTTGAAGAAGCCTTAGTCTTCAAGGAACCAGAAGTTTTTACTCTACCATAAAGGTAAAGGTTCCCTCGCTTGAAAGCCAGTCGAATCCAACTCTAGGGTTGCGGTGCTCATCTCTGTTTCCAAGCCGAAGAGCCAGCGCTGTCCGAAGACGTTTCCGTGGTCATGTGGCCAGCATGACTAAACACCAAGGCGCACAGAACGCTGCTACCTTCCCACTGAAGTGGTACCTATTTATCTACTTGCGATTTCTTGCTTTCGAACTGCTAGGTTGGCAGGAGCGGCACCCGGGTATTGAACTGCTGAACTACCAACCTTCCACAGCCTGCAGTTCAGCATCTTAACCACTTGAGCCACCGCAGCTCCTTTACTCTACCATAACAAGACCTTATTTATAGAAGCGAGACTTTGTTTTTTAAAAGCCAGCTGTGGTAGGTGCTAGGAGTGTGCACAAAAAAATTCGTTATTTTTCGGGTTCGGGTATATTGAACACAAAAAATATCTGTATTTCCTGACATTCCCAAATCCCAATATTAGTATGGTATTGGGATTTGGGAAATAATTGGGATTGCCAATTTTATCCGGCTCCATTATACCCTAGGGGGACTATTATAGTCAATGGTCCCTTTAGGCTATAATGGAGAATCGAACCAAGGGTATCTGGGGCCCTGGGGGGCTGTTTTTTGAGGTAGAGGCATCAAATTTGTAGCATAACTGCTTGGGACTTTTCTTTCCTCCACCCCCCCCCCCATTTCAAAAAGATTGTACTAAGGGGCCCAATTCTGTGGGCCCCAGAAGGTGCCCCATCCTCCATTGTTTTGAATGGAGGGGGGAAAGGCATTTAAAGGGACCACAGTTCCTTTAAATGCTTGAGAGTTGACTCTGATGGCATTTAAAAGGACTGAAAGCTCTTTAAATGCCCTGTAACTATGGCTATCTGGTCATTTTGGGATAGCTGAATCACTAGCCCACTCAGTGATCAGCTGAGAAGGTATTTTTCAGTTATTTTTTTGTTTGGTTTATACCGAGCCCACACCCCTAGTAAACACTCCATCCTGGGAGGGGATCCCACATATCATTTCTGTGATGATTTCTGCTTCTTTGTTCAAAGGAAGGACTTCGTCAGCAAGTATGTAGATTATATCTTCAACAAATCTGTGCAAAGTGTTTTTGAAGAGTTCAAGAGGGGTTTTTATAAAGTCCTGGACAAACGGGTCATTGGCCTCTTCATGCCCCAGGAGCTGGTGGAAGTGGCAACTGGGCACGTGAATTATGACTGGGACGCCTATGAACAGGTTGGTGGGGAAGAGGGGTCCAGCCGCCATCTTGACCACAATCACTCGTTGCTTTGTCTGTCAACTTTCACTTAACATGTCTTTTCCCTCCTTTTCAAGAATACTGCATACTGGGGGATATATAATATGGTACACCCTACCATAAAGATGTTCTGGCAGGTTTTCCGTGGACTATCTTTGGCTGACAAAAAAGGCTTTCTGTGTAAGTGTTAATTAAAAAAAAAAAATCCTGTTCTTTCTTAAGGAGTTCAGGGTGGCAAACCTGGCTCCTCTGTCCTCATTTTATCCTGACAACCTACCTCTCAGTGTGGCCATGCAGCTGAGGTAGCAAGGTAGTTGTGAATCTTCTGCATTGTGCAGGGGGTTGGACTAGATGACCCTGGTGGTCCCTTCCAACTCTATGATTCTATGACAGCCCCAAGATCACTGAAAAGGCTTCACGACAGAGCAGAGACCTGAAGTCACATCGGTGCAGTCACGAGTCTGATATTCTTAACTATTACAGTACATGTGCAAGTATCAAGTGTGTAGACTGCTACTTCAGCAGTTTCTGGAATTTCCTGATGGAATTTCCTGATGGGAAGTGCTTTCTTTCACCAAAATGCTGTGATTGTCTCTGCTAATATAGTACATCATTGGAGTTCTGAGAAGAACTGCCCCCGGAGCACTTAGTGAGCCTCATGGTTAAGCCGGAGCAATGGGGGAGGCTCCCCAGTTTGAGACCCTCATTCCTTTAGTTCCACTATACTGGTGGTCTTAAAGTGAGTCCTCCCCCAAGCTCAAATGCATCTCGTTGGTTGCTGGAGATGACCGTGTTCTATGTTATATTTGTTTTGGGAGTCCAAAAATAACTGTACTTTAAATCCTTCAACCTATGGGATATACTTTATAGGCATCTGCTCTGTTATGGGATTCTTGTCCTTGCATTTTGATACCATATTACAAGGGAAAGTGTTTGTCTTTTTTGGTGGGGGATTGCCTGGGACAGAGGACTGGAGAGAGCCATACACTTGACTTGACTTCACCAGTGCTGTTGCTTCATTCATACATGTTTGTTGCTTTGGGTTATCCGCAGCATTGTGTAACTCTGGACACACTTTGAATTAGTTGCTGTAGATTTTCCGGGTTGTGTGGCCGTGGTCTTGGCATTGTTAGAACCAGACGTTTCGCCAGTAGCTGTGACTGGCATTCTCAGAGGTATAACACAGAAAGATGGATCTTTCTGTGTTATACCTCTGAGGATGCCAGTCACAGCTACTGGCGAAACCGTCTGGTTCTACAATGCCAAGACCACCACGGCCATACAACCCAGAAAATCTACAGCAACTAATGAACTCCAGCCGTGAAAGCCTTCGACCAACACACTTTGAATTGTCTGAATGTTTTCTGACTTGGTTTATGAGTGTCACCTCATCTGTGTCTGTCATCTTCAGTGTTTGTCTCCGGAAGTGACCGTCTGCCGGTAAAACCAAAGGAGGACATGCACCTAAAAATTCATTCGACTGAGGGGCTTTCAGAAGATCACCTCCCCGAAGCCCAGACCTGCTGTCAAATTCTACTTCTGCCTCCTTATTCCACAGTAGAAAAACTGAAGAAGAAACTTATCCAGGCCATTGAGAACAACCGGGGCTTCGGCAGACCGTGATGCTGCTAATTTCACAGATGCACGTACAAACCCCTTCGTCTTTTAAAGTTGTTATTCTGTTAGTGTGATTCAGGGCTTGGTGGACATATGCCCCTTGGGGGGAGGTATCTTCCCTGTCTCTGGAACAACAGCCACAGCAAAGAAAAGGGGCAAACAGATGAAATTCAGGAAGCAAGAAGTAAATTGTACCCATTTGATGCTGCCTGCTGGATCCTGGAGACCATCATAGACTTTTTATGGCTGATGACAGACTTCTTTCTAATAAAGTGTTTTACATTGCTTATGGCTTATGCAGTAGAGGTTATTCCTAATAAAGTATTGTTTTTTACATTTGCCCTGTTGACTTCTTTATCACTCTGTTAAATGACTATTTTATTGTTTCTTTCCAAGTACTTAGGGTGAGGTTATCCTAAGAGACTTTCAAAGTGGTTTTGGTTGCGATCATCATGATTTGGCAGTAATTGCCAAAATGCCATAATTTGAAGAAGCAAGTGCAATATTGCAATCCTCCCTTCTTCTTCTTTTTTACACACCGTCGTGGAAAATTCTCTGTAAACTGAGAATTACTTGTATCCCACATTTCTCCCTGATGGAAACCCAAAGTGGCTTACAGCATTCTCCTCTGTTTTTATCCTCACAACAGCCCTGTGAGGTGGGTGAGGCTGTGAGCGGGTGACTGGCCTGAGGTCACCCAGCGAGCTTCCATGGCAGTGCTGGGGTTCAAACCTGGGTCTCCAAAATCTAGCCTGGCACTTTAAGCACTACAACCACACTGGCTCTCATAAGGCTTGACGGTAAAAAATTGCTGATCAACTTATTATCTCTGGAGTAGCTGTCTCTGTAGTGTGAGGGGTTTATGTATGTAACTGTGGATTTCTTTAGGGAAATGGCTTCTAGAATAGCTTTTCTTTAAGGCCTTGCAATTCTTATTGCACATTCGGGTAAAAAGAGTGAGTGTACGGAAACTGGTAGCGAATTAAATATTAGGAACAGACCAGTGCACATGCCTGTCTAGGCTAGTTGGCTAAAACAGCTCTGAGCTGAACGGAGGCAGATGCTGTTGATCTCTTGATTGTGTTGAGTGGTAGTCCCCACCACAACGCCTGCAGATGCCATGGCACTCATGAGTGTGTTCCCTGGTTGTTGGGTTTGATAGTGAGATATTGGAAAAAATGGTATTTAGCAGAGATAAGATAGCTTAGCAGAGCTAGAGAAAAATAATTCAGACTCCGAGTCCATGTGTGATTAAAATAGACAGTTTTTACTAAATTCTAGCATGGGGAAGGGTAACTGGGATGAAAATAACAGAGCTCAACGGCTACTTCCTTACACTACAAAGACAAAACTAGAACAGCGTTATGGCTTCTCCTTCTTCTTGAGAACAGCAAACAAAGACGGGAAGAGGAGCCATAAAATGCTAAAACCCTTTGACACTTTCTTTTTGCATTCACTTTTTATTGTTGAGTATATCCGTTCAACACAATCAATATTCATCTTATTGATATGTTCATTTCCCATTTTTAAACAATCTTGAAACAAACATACAAACAAAAGGGGAAAAAATCATCTGAGGTTACTATTACAACAGCCAAAAAATTTTTTTTGTTCCTCTCTTTTAATCCCTCTTCTTTTCATATGCCCCTATCTTACCCGTTTGTGTATCCCATCCAACTTCCCCATAACTTATTAATCCTCATAATACCACACGAAAACTACAGTTTCTACTAACTCACATAATGCTATATTCTTCTATCTACCTCTTATCCTATAACCTAACTATCAATGCCAAAGTATGTTGTTCCCCTCACAGCTCCCCATCTTTCAATTTCATAACAGCTTCAACAAGTTTTTTCCCCGTCATCTCATTATATGCTGTGAATGTTTTATTTTTTATCGTCACAGCCAAATGTCCAAGAGCTAACCATCTGTATGGTATTTCCTTCTCTCTCAATGTTTTAGCCGTTTCACACAAGCCTCGTCTTGCAATCAGCACCTCTGAGATGACGTCAGCATATAAAAACACACAAGTGTCCTCTAAGAGCAAACCCTTTTTTTCCCGAGCTATTTTAAACAGTTTATTCCTTGTGTTGAGCTCTTTGAATTCAATGATTATATCTTGCGGAACTCCTGCGGGGGCTCTCTTTGAAATGTTAATTCGAAAAGCCGAAGTGATTATCTCTTCCAAGGTCTCTGTTGCACCTTCCGACTGCAGTATCTGCAGAAGCCATTTGTTGAGTTCCTCCTGTAAATTTCCTGTTGCACAAAAGTTGGGGGAAACTCCCCGTAGCTTCGCTTTTCTTTCCCTTAGTCTCATCTCCTGGAGGATAATCCTGTTCTTGGCCCAATTTTCAAACGACCGTATCTCTGATAAATCATCCGAAACTTTCTTGGCTGCGTGAAGAGCAGAGTCTGCCTTCTGGTCAGTTATCTTTAGAGCTGAGGCCATTTCGTCTAGTTTCTGATTTATCGGGTCGATAGCACTCTTGAGCTGAGCGAATTCCTTTCTTAATCAACATCAGAAGACAAAGTCTTTATCTCGCTTTTAATCTCCTCCTTTATTTCTTTTAACGCCTGTGCAATTGTATCTCCTGCAGCTGCGGCCATTTCTTCTGGCAAAGAAAAATCACGCTCTGACTCAGAGTCCGTTTCTTCCGTCGTTAGTAGTTTAAGAGGTGACTTTGTAACACCTCTTTTGCCTCTGGCTTTTCCCTTAGCTGGCATTGATAATTTTTTATAAAGTTACCTTGTTTTTAAAGAGTAAACGTTGTTTATCCGTTGGGGATTGCAAGAGAGCAAGCAAGCTGCAGCCGACAAGAAGGACTGCTGCCACGCCCCCTCATCACCCTTTGACACTTTCATTCCAATCAAACTCCTAGATCAGGGAGAAATTTCCCGGGCTTGTACTCCTAAAACAACATTGGTTACATGAAAAGCATGTGACTTCCTGTGAGCAACACAAACAAACACTTAACCCCAGGCACACTGAGTGTTTTCAACTTGTAATACCCAACACTGGTTGACTTAATCTGGCATGTTTGCCAGCACTGGGGGCCTGCAAATGGGCAAAGTCAGCAACCACCCGTACATAGGCCTTCTCCATTGGGCTGTTTTTGGGAATGGTAGTCTGCAGTTAGTTCGCTGTGGGTTGGCTCCCATTGTGCAATTTTTTTGTATCATTTAATGTGTCATGTTAGCACTTAGCTTTGCTTCAGTGCTGGTTCCTAGACTCCTGGTGGAACTACAACCCAAATCCTATTTCATTGTTTATTGAATGTCCCGTCCTGTTGATGGTCTTCACTCACTCTGTGTCATCGGCCCTGAGTCCCAGTGAGAAAGATGGACTGCAAATAATGTAAATAATTTTTTTAATGTAAATGGGAGGCCCTGTGAATGGATTCTCCTGTTGTGTCAAGTCTGACCAGTAGCCAGACTTTAGCTAGCCGCTACTGTACCATTTAGTTTACATTGACAATGGAAAATCGTTTGGCCAAGAAACTTAGTGATTGTGTTATTATGCATGAAATTCTCATTCTACCAGTGTTTCTCCCCCCCCCCCAGTATTTATTTTGCAACTGGTTTAACCTAAGATAGGAGGTTGCTTTTGGTAGCTAATATGGTGGTCTCCCATCTGAAAACCATGAACTTTGACAAGCTACCTGAAGAAGTGAGCAGTGACTCACGAAAGCTCATACTCTACCACCGATGTTGTTAGTCTTTAGGTGCTGCTGGCAATGTTCCCTCTAAGCTGTGGAGTCTTGTATGCAAAACGTCTACTTTGTGAGCAACCGGCATTAAAGCTGTGAGCCAGCGATCTGGCTACTGCATACATTAGTTTGCTCTGGAGCCGTCCTTCCTGAACGAAGACAAAAATCTGTGAGCTGGAGGCTCAAAAACTGTGAGCTAGCTCACACTAACTCGGCTTAGAGGGAACACTGGATGCTGGGTTCTTCCTCTTTCCCACTGCCTTGACAACCTTATTAGGGTTGCCAGCTCTGGGCTGGGAAATCCCTGGAGATTTGGGGAGTAAAGCCTGGGGGAGGGGAGGGACTTCAAGGGGGCACAATGCCACACAGTCAGTCCACCCTCCAAAGCAACCAGTTTCTTCATGTGACCAGATCTTAGTCACTTGGAGACTGGCCCGTAGCTAACATGGGGCCCATGGGGCCTGGCCTCCTAGTGTTTCTTCTGGGCTCCCTCCCTCCTAGGCTGCCCCCAAAGTGCTCCAACTTACCACCTGCACTGTACTTTCATTTAATTAGCTGGCAGGCCCCGAGGCCCCCTCCCAAAAAATTCCCTAGCTACAGGGCTGCTTGGAGATCAGTTGTAATAGGGGGAGATCTCCAGGTGCCACTTAGAGGTTGGCATCACTACTTAGGTATTCCTGGGGGAGGGGGGGGGAGACTAGGAAGTTTTTTACAGTGGAATCAATGCACATGAGTCTGGTTTGTGGTTTTGCATTGCTCTTAAAAGCATTCCAGTGTAAAAATCTAAGTATTTTGGTGGAATGGCCGCACCCTAATTTGCTCCCTCCACGTCTCTGTGGCACCATCCCAGATAGGATCTGTGACTGGCCTGATGATGGGTATGGCTGGATGCCACGTAAAAAGCCCGCTGTGTTGATAATTGCTAACGATCAGTGCAAAAAATCGCGGGGGGGGGAGGGTTGGCCAGCTATAGTGAGTG